TGAAAGGTTGTGGAGCCTCCGCTGATATACCATCCGTAATGGCTGATGGGAATCAGGTGTGTCGCAGAGGAGAGTGCTCAACTGTTTGCAGCTGGTGGAGATTTGAGCCGGGAGCCAGGAGTGACAGGCACCACGCCCACACAGACAGGGAAAGGGAAAACACACACACAAGGAAGGTGGCTGAAGAATGCAACCACCACAGTACCCCCCCCCCCCTTAAGGGACACCTCCAGGCGGTCTACCAGGTCTACCAGGTCTTCCAGGGTTATCCCGGTGGAAGTCCCGTATCAGAGATGCGCCCACGATATCTCGCCGGGGAACCCAACACCTCTCCTCTAAACCATAGCCCTCCCAATCCACCAGATATTGGAATCCCCTTCCACGGCGACGAACGTCCAACAATCGCCTGACGGTGTAGGTTGGATGATTATTGATGATGCGGGGGGGTGGGGGAACACTCACTGGAGGAGACAAAGGACTGCTGGCAACAGGTTTCAACAGAGATACATGAAATGTTGGATGAACCTTCATGTGTGAGGGAAGTTTGAGTTTGACTGCAGATGGATTAATAATGGAGTCGATGATGAAGGGGCCGACATACCGTGGGGTAAGTTTCTTTGACTCTGTCTTGAGTGGGAGATCTTTGGACGAAAGCCAAACACTCTGACCTGGTAAGTAGTTGGGGGCCTGGGTCCTGTGGCGGTCTGCGATGAGGCGGTTGCGGGCAGCGGAGCGGAGCAGGGCTGCTCGGGTGTCCCTCCACACCTTACGACAGCGACGAAGGTGGGCCTGAACGGAGGGAACAGCAACTTCCTCTTCCTGGGCTGGAAACAGAGGTGGTTGGAAACCCATGGCACAATGAAAAGGTGAAATACCTGTGGCTGCACTTGGCAGGGAGTTGTGGGCATACTCGATCCATGGCAGATGTGGGACCCATGACGAAGGGTTCTTGAAAGCCACACAACGAAGGGCCGACCCCAGATCCTGGTTGGCCCGTTCTCTTTGCCCGTTCGTCTGAGGATGATAGCCAGATGACAGGCTCACCGATGCTCCCAGAGCCTGACAGAAGGCCTTCCAAACGTGGGAAATGAACTGGGGGCCCCGGTCAGAGACGATGTCGGTGGGGATCCCATGAAGTCGAACTACATGGTTGACCAGAAGATCTGCAGTCTCTCGGGCAGTGGGAAGTTTGGAAAGAGCCACAAAGTGTACCATCTTTGAGAATCTGTCCACAATAGTTAGGATGATGGTATTTCCTTGTGAAAGTGGAAGTCCAGTAACAAAATCCAATGCCACATGCGACCAAAGGCGACTAGGTACTGGCAGTGGGCAAAGCAGGTCAGCGGGAGGCTGGTGGGAGGCCTTGGCGCGGGCACACACTGTACAGGCAGCAACAAAGGCCCTGGTGTCTTGAGCCATGGAAGGCCACCAGAACTGTTGTTTGAGAATGAACAGTGTGCGATGGACACCAGGATGACATGAGAAACGAGAGGTGTGTGCCCACTGCAGGACCTTGGAGCGAACAGGGGTAGGCACAAAAAGACAATTAGCTGGGCAGTTACCTGGGCTAGGCTGCGCTCGCTGGGCCTCCCTGACCAATGACTCAATCTCCAAGGTAACAGCCCCGACCACGCAGGAGGCAGGCAGGATAGTGTCTGGACTGGCAGCTGGTCCATCGGAAGCGAACTGGCGAGAGAGGGCGTCAGGCTTGAGGTTCCATGACCCTGGACGGTAGGTGAGGGTGAATGAGAAGCGGCCGAAATACAGGGCCCATCGAGCCTGACGGGAGTTAAGGCGCTTGGCAGATTGGATGTACGCCAGGTTCTTGTGGTCCGTCCATACAATAAAAGGGAGTTCAGCTCCCTCTAGCCAGTGCCTCCACTCCTCTAGGGCAAGTTTGACAGCCAGCAGCTCTCTGTTACCCACGTCATAGTTCTTCTCAGCTGGGGTGAGGCGGCGAGAGAAAAATGCACAAGGATGCAATTTTTGGTCTCGTTCCGAGCGCTGGGAAAGAACTGCTCCTACCCCGGTGTTGGAGGCATCGACCTCCACAACGAACTGGCGAGAGGAATCAGGGTGGATGAGCACAGGGGCAGTGGTGAAGAGTCTCTTTAGCTCTGAAAAGGCTGCATCGCACTCTGGGGTCCAGGAAAAGCCAGTTGTGGGGGAAGTGAGTCTGGTTAAAGGACCCGCCACTCTGCTGTAGTCCCTGATGAAGCACCGATAGAAATTGGCAAAACCAAGAAACTGTTGAAGCAGTTTGACTGAGGTTGGTTTGGGCCACCCCACCACCGCTTGGATCTTCTCAGGGTCGGACCTAAGCTTTCCTTCCTCAACGATGTAGCCCAGGAATGAGACTGTTGACATGGAATTCACATTTCTCCGCCTTTACAAAGAGTCTGTTCTCCAGGAGTCTCTGCAGCACCTGCCTGACATGGATAATGTGCTCCTCCTTGTTACGAGAGAATATGAGGATGTCATCCAGGTAGACAAAGACTGACCGGTTGAGGAGGTCACGGAGCACATCGTTCACCATTGACTGAAAGACTGCAGGGGCATTCGTCAGTCCAAAAGGCATCACCAGATACTCGAAGTGACCGAGTGGTGTGTTAAAGGCCGTCTTCCACTCGTCCCCTTCTTGGATTCTGACGAGGTGGTAGGCATTGCGGAGGTCCAGTTTGGAAAAAATGGTGGCTTCCTGGAGGGGTTCAAAGGCGGAGTTAATGAGGGGTAGTGGGTATTTGTTTTTTACAGTAATGGCATTGAGACCCCTGTAATCAATGCAGGGCCGCAGTGAGCGGTCCTTCTTGGAGACGAAGAAAAACCCAGCACCGACCGGGGAGGAGGATGGCCGAATGACACCAGCAGCCAGGGAGTCATGGATGTAATTTTCCATGGATTTTCTCTCAGGGCGAGATAGGTTGAACAGACGTGAGGAAGGCAGAGGGGCCCCGGGAAGGAGGTCAATGGGACAGTCGTAGGGTCGATGAGGAGGAAGAGAAAGAGCTCGCTGTTTACTGAACACCTCTCCTAGGTTATGATATTCAGTGGGAACAGGTCAGGCGGCTCGATCTTGAGTGGTGGAGAGGCGGCCTCTGCTGGCGGTAGGGCAGACTGCAGGCATGAGGATAAGCAAAAATAACTCCAACTAATGATTTTGCCAGTTACCCAATCAATCTGGGGGTTGTGAGTTCTTAACCAGGGATGGCCCAACACTATGGGGGCCTGAGGTGAGGAAATTAGGTGAAACTGAATAAACTCACGATGGTTTCCAGACAGAATGAGGTTTACTGGCTTGGTGCGGTGAGTGACTTGGGCCAGGAATTTTCCATTTAGAGCATTAGCACTAAGAGGTGAATCTAACACTTCGCAGGAAATTCCTGCCTGAGCTGCAATGTCAATGTCCAAAAAATTCTCATCCGCCCCCGAGTCCACTAAGGCGAGCAGGGGTAGGGACTGTTGGTTGCAGCAAAGCATGGCTTCTAGCTGTGTTCTGGGTCGGGGGTTGAGAGAGAAGGAAGGGCTCGCCAGAATCCCCACAGCTACTGACGAGCCTGACCTTTTGGCAGACTAGGACAGGAGGAAACGAGATGACTGGTTTGGCTGCAATAAACACATTCCCCAGCATGGATCCTTCTCGCACGCTCAGATGGTGAGAGGCGGGCCCTTCCCACTTGCATGGGCTCCTCTCCATGGGATGAGGCTGAGTAAGGAGTCGGGAAAGATCGGGGAATAGGGGTAGTGGCAGTTCCAATTTGGGGATCAAGTGAGAAGTCGCTGGGATTGGAGTGACGGCTAGTCCTATCCCTACGTCTCTCTCTGAGGCGATTATCAATCTTAATGGCTGTGGTAATTAAATTATCCAAGCTACCTGGATCATCCCTAGCCGCTAGCTCGTCTTTAATTGCTTCGTTCAGCCCCTGAAGAAAAGCATCCTGTAGTGACTCAGAAGCCACTGTTCTAAACTCCACTGAAAATTCGGCTACACTACGGGAGCCCTGCCGGAGAGAAAGAAGGCGCCGAGCAGCATCCCTCCCCCGTACCGGGTGATCAAAAACTTTTTTCATTTCGGAAATGAAAGTATCATATGACCAGCAAATGTGTGGCTGGCTCTCCCTAACAGCTGTAGCCCAATCTAAAGCCCTCCCCCTCAACAGGCTCATTACATATGCTACCCTAGCCCCATATGTGTGATAAGTACTAGGCTGCTGCTCAAAAACTAACGTACACTGGAACAAAAAGGCTCTACAATTACCCAAATCTCCAGCGTATCGTTCAGGTGTGGGAATGACAGCCTCTCGTAGCTGATGGAGGAGTGCGGCAGGAGGGGGGGGGAGGGGCTGTCGGCTGTGCAGCGTGCTGCGGAGGAAAAGCCTGTGAAGTGAGCAGTTCTACCTGCGTGCCGATCCTTTGCACATTAACGGAGAGGTTCCGGAGAGTCTCCAATGCCTCACGGAGAACTGTATCATGATGCCCCACGAGAGCGCCTTGACTGGCCAGGGCTTGGCAGAGTTCGTCCGTAGTTTTGGCCTGGTAGCCGGTGTCCGCTGGGTCCATACTGGCCAGATCGTTCTGTTACGGTTATCTGAGAGAACCCAAACGCAGGACACGGCAGTGTGTTACAAAGGTTTTATTTGGAGGAGATAATCCGGCTGGAGAGTATCGGCTGGAGAGTATCCACTGGAGCGTAATCCACTGAAGAGTATCCTCCGGAGTTTTAATCCACTGGAACGTAATCCACTGAAGCGTAATCCTGGAGCACAAGAAGAACAGGTAAGAATATATTCAGGTGTAGCGAAAATAGTCACTCTACTTTAAGAAGGCTGAGAAGGCTAAGAGTTTTACCACTGGGGTTTAACAACGATCTGGCGCTGACAGGTTGTGGAGCCTCCGCTGATATACCATCCGTAATGGCTGATGGGAATCAGGTGTGTCGCAGAGGAGAGTGCTCAACTGTTTGCAGCTGGTGGAGATTTGAGCCGGGAGCCAGGAGTGACAGGCACCACGCCCACACAGACAGGGAAAACACACACACAAGGAAGGTGGCTGGAGAATGCAACCACCACAATATCTACATCAGAGATTTTGATTGTTTCAAGAAAGTGTGGTAAAGTAAATAATATTGTAACCAACATAAAGTTTAAAAACAGCATTGAAACAGCAACAGAAAGCAACACAAAAACTGTTACTTTCAATTGTGTATTAGCAAAAATGTTAGCTTCAGTCAGCTAACGTAAATGCTAGCTTTTCCACTGACAAGGGTATTTATTCTGGCCCCTGGGCACATAGCAATGATGTACACATCGCCAGATAGTTAAACAGTTTATTGTTGAAATCTTGTGAAACTGAAAGTAAAAAGCACAAAGCATTGCAATCAATACAATGACATGCTATAAAATACAAACATAAATGAAATCCATAAACATAGATGAATCATCAACTTACAAGCAATGCCTCTCCAAGGTCCACATGAGCAGATGGAGCCAGATGTTTGAGGTACAATAACATGTGGCACTATAGCTGTTCGGCTGGAAAAACATGGCCGCTGACCTTTCAACTCAGTCATGTGACATCTACTGACCAATGAAAACACCTACATCCAAAAATAGCATGAAAAGGCTGCAATCACGCCAGTTGCCTTTAGGAGGTGCTATAACAACAAAAAAACGAAACTTACATGTAACGTGACACTCCCCGCCTGGTATTGAACACAATAGCACTATTGGAGAACAAACTACTGGGAGGTAAGTAACAGTCAGTGTGACCCCTAGGGGGACATAAGCGCCACCACCTCTGTGATGGATGAAGGTCTTTGAGGCCCCTCCTCTGTCAACTTTAGGTTCCAACTTCCTGACCATCGCTTACAGGAAAAAATTTTGTAACCAGTGCCATGGGCCACTGGTTTATTTTCACCTGAGTATCGCGAAGAAGCACCAGGTATCCTTGCTTAATGTTGTAATGACTCTTTTGCCACTTTGAGCGACTCTGAAGAGTTGAGGGATGAAGCCAAGTTGAAAACCTCTCAAATTGCTGAAAGCCTCGGTTTCTGTTGCTGCATTCTGTGAATTGAGTTCGAACTTCTGCGTCAGAGTCTGGCTCTATGAGGTCATAAGATGTTTCCACGTTGTCCTCTGTACGTTGGAAGATCTTACTACCCAGTGAGTCGTCTTCGGTGCGCCAAGCTGAACCACTAGCGAGCTGTGAACTTTCCACGTCAAAAGAACTGCGGACCCCATGTATATTCTCAGCGAGTTTCTCTTTCGGAGTAAGATGGTTCAGACAGGGCATGAACTGAGAGTGATGCCCGTTCTTGAGGATGTGAGTGTGGAACACACTTGCATCTTTGGGTTTGTGAACTGAGCCTAGACGGCTTCGCCAATGATGACCCAGCCAAGATCCAAGCGTTGGGCATATGGCGCCTCATTGGGTCCATTTTGCTGGTCTCTCACCTTGTGGACTTGTAGGACGTCCCGCCCAAGGAGAAGAAGGATCTGAGCCTCTGGATCAAGTTGTGGAATATGCTGAGCAATGGAGTGGAGGTGAGTGTGACATTCAGCCACCTCTGGTGTAGGTATCTCTGACCTGTCTTTCGGGATGTAGTTGCATTCTATGAGAGTCGGGAGATTAATGCTGAGACTTCCATCTAAAGGTTGTGCAATGAAGCTTGTGGCTCTCCTTCCAGAAATCTCAGTGAGACCAGCGCATGTCTGTAGTGTGTAGGGAGTATCTGTGCCTTCAACGCCAAAGAGGTCAAAGAACTCTGATCTGGCGAGTGATCGATTGCTCTGGTCATCAAGGATAGCGTAGAGTCTCACTGACCTGTCAGGTCGTCCCTTAGGATGCACTGTGATGAGACAGATCTTTGAGCAGGAGCGTGGCCCGTTGTTTTCTCCACAGACCTCCGTACACTTAGAGTTCACTGTCGGAGATGACTCGGTGTCATCCTCCCCGCCGTTCTCTGACTCAGGGTTCTGGTTATGCCATGGAGCTGGCCCAGGATGAAGAGCTGCTATATGCTTGTTGCTGTTGCACTCTTTACATTGAACTGCAATCTTACAGTCTTTTGCAAGATGTTTGCTAGAAGAACAACATCTAAAACATATGCCACCCTGCCTAAGAAATGCCTTGCGTTCTTCTAGTGTCTTGGTCCTAAAGCCTTTGCAATATTTAAGAGGGTGAGGCTTTTTGTGGATAGGACATTGCTTTTCAACATCGGGCTTGACACTGGAAGTCTCTGTATTGTCAGAGTCAGACATAGAAGAGACCTCCGTCATGTGCGAGGAGATGAAGTTCTTAGAGCTGTCCATCTTCTTAACTGTGTTATCCTGCTTCACTATTGCAACAGTTGAAGAAGACAGAAAGAAACTTGGGTTGTTACGGATGTAGGCCTCTCTGCAGACGAAGTCAGCAAAGTAGGTGAATGGGGGGAAATGCACATGGTTCTGCTCTTTGTACATACTCCCATGAGACATCCATTTATCCTGAAGGTTGAATGGCAACTTCTCCACAATAGGGTTCAGGCCTCTTGAGGTGTCTAAGCAAGATAGCCCAGGTAGGTTGCCTTCTTGCTGTGCTGATACTAGCTCCTGTAGCAGATCGCCAAGCTCTCTGAGCTTCACAGGATCTCTGTTGTTGATCTTAGGGAACTGCTCTACTCTGTCGAAGAGAGCCTTCTCGATCATTTCTGGTGACCCGTAACAGTCCTGAAGACGAGACCATGTCATAATTAAGCCTCGAGCTGAGTCGTTGACATGGACAGCTCGAATCCTCTTAACGTGTGCTGAAGACTGGGGGCCAAGCCATTTTATTAGTAGATCAAGCTCTTCACTGCATGTAAGATCTGTACCTTTAGTGCAGTTCAGGAAGCTTGACTTCCATGACCAGTAGCTTTCAGATCGGTTGTCGAAAATGGTGAGACTGGAGGTAAGCAGTTCTCGTCGAGTAGGGTAGGATCCATCAGGGTTAGCATCCGGCTTTATTAGCTGGGATGGTAACATATGTGTTATTTTCCTGTTACGGGCGCTCACAGAGTGATCAAAGGCAACGTTATTGAGAGCAGTAGGATTGTGTGGCTGAAGCTGATGATGTGCAAGATCTACGAGTGCATGCTGCGAGGCAGCTTTAGAATGACACTGAACGTACTCGCTAGTTCTTTCGTGAGGAGATTGATGTGGAAGAGATCCAAGGTTTGAGGCCCTGGAGCCTCCGTCTATTTGTTCTGCTGCAGACTCGAGGGCATCAGCCTCTGGTTCTGCTTCTGCAATCTCTTTGTCTAGCTTTAGCGTAGCAAGAGCTGCATCAATCCGAGCCTTTTCCATTAAAAGCTCATTTTCTTTCTGAACGAAAGCTGCACAGGCTCGTGCAGCTAGAACTTTAGCTCGTGCTTTAGCTGCGGCTAAGCTAGCTGAAGAGTTTTGGGAACTTGAGCTGGAGCTAGCAGCTGCAGACCTGATAAGAAAGCTCCTGTCTGATGATGGACCCGCCTGTTGCTCTTCTGCGTGAGGTGTAGCATCCATCATGTAGCTTTAAGGGAATATCAGTCTGGCAGAGTTGAAGTTGCTTTGAAGAAACCTCTCTTATTTACGAAGGCGTCTGCTGTGTAGAACCCGCTGTGATGCTGTTTTTTCACTATTCTGGCCCCTGGGCACGTAGCAATGATGTACACATCGCCAGATAGTTAAACAGTTTATTGTTGAAATCTTGTGAAACTGAAAGTAAAAAGCACAAAGCATTGCAATCAATACAATGACATGCTATAAAATACAAACATAAATGAAATCCATAAACATAGATGAATCATCAACTTACAAACAATGCCTCTCCAAGGTCCACATGAGCAGATGGAGCCGGATGTTTGAGGAGTTACAATAACATGTGGCACTCTAGCTGTTCTGCTGGAAACACATGGCCGCTGTTACGGTGTGCAGGAAGCAGGACCCAAATGCAGATTTAAATGACAAAATAATTCCTTTATTTCAAGGCTACAATATTCAGAGACAGAACAGAACACTCACCGCAGTTTACT